TTCAGCCAGAAACAGGGCTTTCTGGGCCCAAAACCCCAGTTTTTAATCAATCAGGAATAAATGAAATCAGGCAAAATAAAGAGTTTCCTTCTTCGCAATGCTGCAAAGAATGAAATATTATATTTGCACGGGATTCTTTCCTTTTAGCTGAATATTTATATTAGAAATATGTATTAATTTACCTAAAATAGATTATATGAAATATTATGTACCTAAAATATATTGTACAGACTATTATTTTTTGGAATGAAAGCAAAGGAAAAGACATTCAGCCTATTTGCTCAAAATATTGATATGGTATCGAGCCACGTTTAATATTTAGGATCTTAATCTTTGGAGTCGTTTGCTTCGTAGCGTCTGCTTCGCCAGGACAGCTCGTCCTGTTGGCCTAAACCATCGTATGCCCTAATTGCTTCCTTTGTGTCGATCGATCGCTCATCTGTTCAACTGCCCGAACTGTCGCTCGCCGCTCAATCTATTTGACTGACGCTCGTCACTTGATTTGTTTGACTAACACTTGATCTCGAGTTGTTCGCCTGGAGAGCTCGAGTCGTTCGCCTGTCCCTCGACTACTCGACTACTGCTCGTTGCTCATCTGTTCGTCCGCTTCATCTACCTCGACCACCTTTGTTCTCGTCCACTTGGTTCACTTTGTCTGCTTCTGCTCCAATACTATTGACAATAGCTTTGACTTTGATATAGTTGGCGTATTTCAGCACCGATATACTTCCTAGATCGTTGCACTCAACGATCTTGGGCTTCAGCTTTAGCTTCCGACTCCTCTCCTAGTGCACAATTTTTTTTTGAATCTCTTAGGTTGATTTAGATCAACGATTGGGATTTTTTTTGATATATTGGCTTTCTTTGATTTCTGGTTGTTTTCTTTCAACGACAATTCTATTTAGAATGCCTTCTAAATGTCTTCTGAAATCTTAACTATCAGATTTACGGGAAAGAATTATGTCGCATGGGAATTTTAGCTCAGAATGTTCTTAAAAGGGAAGGAGCTTTGTGGTCATATTGATGGATCTTCTCTTGCACCTACTGAGACAAAAGATCTTGGTCAATGAGAAGCAAATGATGCTCGAATTGTTTCCTGATTTTGGGATCTATTGAGGTGCATATGGTGAACAATTTATGATCCTTTGACACAGCTAAAGAAACGTGGGAATACTTTAAGCGCGTTTACAAATAAGATAATTTTGCGAAACACTTTCAATTGGAACTTGACATAAGTAATTATAGTCAGGGTAATCTTTTAATTGAACAATATTATTCTGTCTTTCTAAATTTATGGAACAAATATACTGACATTATCTATGCTAAGGTGTCAAAGGAGAACTTAGCTAGTCTTTGAGTTATTCATGAAGAAAGTCGTCGTGATCAATTTTTAATGAAACTCATACCTGAATTTGAAACTGCTCGAGCTGGGTTGCTGAGTAGAGATCTGGTTCCTTGTTTGGATGTTTGTTTTGGGCAATTACTGCGTGAATAACAAAGATTGGTGACACAATCTGTTATCGGTACAACAAGTGGATCATCAGAAATAATTAATATGACATGTGCTGCTAAGACCAAAGGGAAAGGACCAGTGCAGTGCTACAACTACAAGAAATTTGGTCATATTGCACGGAGTTGTGAAAATAAGGTATGTAATTATTACAAGCAAAAGAGAAATATTCTTATGGATACACGACCCCAAAACTATAAACCACAAGCACTTCATACCACGGTATCCAACACTCATAATTCTAGCTCGACAACCACAATTGCTAACAATAATCAATCACCTGTCACACCATATATGGTTTAACAAATGATTCTCACTTTTTTTCTGTTCTAGTTCTTCAAGGGAAATGTAAAATTATTACTTATGTTCCTTCTCCTTGGCTTGTTGATTCTTACGCCACAAATCATATGACTGGCACAACTTATTTATTGCATAACCAAAGGTCGGATACTGGTGCTCAATATATTCAGGTTGCTGATGAAAAGAATATTCCAACTACGACAATTGGTGATATTAAGTCCTCCTTCAGACATGTCTTGGTTTCTCCTAAATTATCTACTAACTTACTCTTTGTTGGTAAAATTGTGGAATTGTGGATAATAATATAATAATTGTGACGTACATTTTTCTCATGATGGTTGTATTGTGCAAGATCACGTGTCAGGAAAGGTGATAACGAAGGGGCCTAAAGTCGGCAGACTATTTCCATTACAATTTATTGTTCCTCAGAATATGTCATTAGCTTCTTCAGTTGTTGAGAATAAGGCAGACATATGTCATAAAAGACTAAGTCATCCAAATGATATAATGTTGAAGCATTTACTTAATAGTGGTGTTTTTGATTCTATAAATAAGAGTATAGTAGTTGACTGTTCTGTTTGTAAACTTGGAAAAGTAAGACATTACATTTTCATATTTCAAGCAGTCGTGCCAATAAATGTTTTGACATTATTCATAGTGACGTCTGGGGAATTACACAAGTTATTTCACATGCTCAATATAGATAATTTGTGACATTTATTGATGATTACAGTCGATTTATTTTGATATATCTTTTGCATTCCAAAGTAGAAGTATTTACTGTATTTGAAATATTTTTAGCATATTTTGAAACTCAATTCTACACTTGCATTAAAACCTTACGATCTAACAATGGTGGCGAATATATGTCTCATGCGTTTCAAGCATTTCTCCATAACAAAGATATTGTTTCACAACGTTCATGTCCCTATACACCGCAACAAAATGGAGTTGCTGAATGAGAAAATCAACATCTATTGGATATTATGCGTACATTACTGATAGAATCTTCTGTTCCAGCTAAATTTTGGACTGAAACTTTATCTACTGTAGTTTATCTCATTAATCGTTTACCATCTCAACAATTAAAGTATGAGTCTCCCTACTATCAAATTTTTTATGAACATCTTAATTATCATATGCTAAATACTTTCAGATGTGTTTGCTTTGTTTATCTACCTACTCATGAACGTCATAAGTTGATAGCTCAGTCAGTACGATGTGCCTTTTTGGGGTACGATCCTAATCATAAATGTTTTGTGTGTTATGATTCGATTAATAATCGATGACATATTTCTCAACGATGACATATTTCTCAAATTTCTCAAAATGTGATTTTCTTTGAGCATGAATATTACTTTCAGCATCATGTGTTGACACCAGATACAATTATTCTTCCACAATTTGATGATTCTTCAGCTGATAAACGGTTCAAGTCAGACATTGACTACACACGACACATGCCCCCTTCACCTTCAATCCTCACTGACCCTAATCCTGAAATTACTCCAATAAGTATTCAACGATCAACCCAGCGTATCCATCCTCCAGATATATATGACTATTCTGCACTTTTAATTAATATTGTTGTTCCTACCTCTTACTTTCAGGGTGCTAAACATACTTGTTGGGTCAAAGCCATACAAGAGGAACTTCAGGCACTTCAAGACAATCACACTTGGGATATTGTTTCATGTTCTACATGTGTTAAACCCATTGGTTGTAAATGAGTTTATTCTCTTAAAATCCAATCTTATGACTCTCTTGACAAATATAAGACAAGATTGGTAGCTCTCGGCATCGACATGAATACAAGATTGATTATGAAGAAACATTTGCACCTGTGGCTAAGATGACAACTGTCCGGCTGATGTTATCTATTGTTACATCTAAAGGCTGGTTCTTAAAGCAAATGAATGTTAAGAATGCATTCTTACACGGGGATCTCAAAGATGTCTATATGAATCCTCCTCCAGGCTTATTTTCTACACCTTCACATGATGTTTGTAAGCTCAAACGATCCCCATACAGTTTGAAATAGGCTCCACGGGTTTGACTTGAAAAGTTTCGCAATACCCTTTTTAGCTTCTCTTTTATTCAAAGTCATTTTTTTAGCTTCTCTTTTATTCAAAGTCAGTATGATTCATCATTATTTCTTTGCAAGACTGACTAGGGAATTGTTTGTTATTAATCTATGTTGATGATATTGTCATCATAGGATCTGACAATCAATTGATGTCTTGGCTACAGAAATGTCTTCAGGGTTCTTTTCATATGAAAGATTTGGGATTATTAACTTATTTCTTAGGAATCGAGGTTGACTATTCTCCCGCTGGTATTTTTCTTCATCAACACAACAACACGAAGAGACTCATTGCTTTGGTTGATCTTCAAGATGGTCGTTTTGCTGATACTTCATTGCTTTAGTTGCAGTCGAAGTATTGTTCAGTATTTAAAAGGTAGTTCTTATCGTAGTTTGTTCTTTTCTGGGGAGTCTCCTATCAACTTAACAACCTATAGTGATGTTGATTGGATTGATTGTTCTGATACACATCGATCTATTATTGGATGATGCATGCTTCTCGAAAACTCTTTAATCTCTTGGAAGAGCAAGAAACAAGATCGAGTGTCTAAGTCATCTACTGAATCAGAATATTACGCTATGTCCTCTGCTTGTTCCGAGATCATTTGGCTTCGGGATGTGCTCGCTGAACTTGGTTTTCCTCAGCTTGAGTCCACTTCTCTTCATGCAAATAATGCTAGAGTTATCTAGATTGCTGCTAATCCAGCCTTTCACGAGCGCACAAAACATATTGAAGTGAATTGTCATTCTATTCGAGAAGCCTATGAGAATGGTGTTATATCTCTTCCTCATATCACTTCTGATCTTCAAACGACTGATATATTTACTAAGACTCTTTCTCGACAGCGTCATCAGTTTCTTGTCGACAAATTGATACTTCTTAATCAGTCAACATCAATTTGAGGGGATATCAATCAGAAATAAATGAAATCAGACAAAATAAAGAGTTTCTTTCTTTGCAATGATGCAAAGAAGAAAATATTATATTTGCATAGGATTCTTTTCTTTTAGCTGAATATTTAGATTAGGAATATGTATTAATTAAGATACCTAAATTAAGTGGTAAATACCATTATTTATTTGAATGAAATAAAAGAAAAACGCATTCAATCCATGTGCTTGTATACAAAGCTGATCTCCCTCCTCAGAAAAAGCCGCTCTCTTTCAGCCACCGCCGCCACTGCTCCGCCTCCGGCCGTCTCCTCTCCCGCCATGAATACGCCCCTAAAAACCCTCCGCACCCGTCTCTGCATCATCGGCAGCGGTCCCGCCGCCCACACGGCCGCCATTTACGCTGCTCGCGCTGAGCTCAAACCCATCCTCTTCGAAGGCTGGATGGCCAACGACATTGCAGCCGGCGGTCAACTAACAACCACAACCGACGTCGAGAATTTCCCCGGCTTCCCTGAAGGTATCCTCGGCTACGAGCTCATGGATCGGTGCCGCGCACAATCTATCCGTTTCGGCACGGAGATCTTATCAGAAACGGTGGAATCCGTTGATTTCTCCTCCCACCCTTTCCGAGTCCTCTCTTCCTCCTCAGCGGTGGATGCTGATGCTGTCGTCGTCGCCACCGGTGCCGTAGCACGCCGCCTTCATTTCCCCGGTGCCGATCAGTTCTGGAATCGCGGGATCTCGGCTTGCGCTGTTTGCGATGGCGCGGCTCCTATTTTCCGTAACCGGCCCATCGTGGTGGTCGGCGGTGGGGACTCCGCCATGGAGGAGGCGAATTTCCTTACCAAGTATGGGTCTAGGGTTTTCATTGTGCATCGAAGGGATGCGTTTAGGGCATCCAAGATCATGCAAGCGAGGGCCTTGAGTAATGATAAAATCGAGGTGGTGTGGAATTCAGAGGTTGTGGAGGCTTATGGTGAGAAGGAAGGAGGGCCGCTTGGTGGAGTAAAGTTGAAGAATTTGGTTACAGGGGAGATGACAAATCTGGCGGTTTCGGGGCTGTTCTTTGCAATTGGGCATGAGCCAGCAACCAAGTTTCTTGGGGGACAACTGGAGCTAGATTCAGATGGTTATGTGGTCACAAAGCCTGGAACAACTCGAACGAGCGTGAAAGGAGTTTTTGCGGCTGGAGATGTGCAGGATAAAAAGTATCGGCAGGCTATTACTGCTGCTGGATCAGGTAAGCGGCTAAGCATTTTTGAAGTTATGTGTAGATGTGTTCGTTGTCTGTTAAGCCTTTAATCGAAGGACTATAACTTGTTCTTTTGTGGCGCAGTGGTGAATTCGCTTTAGTTTGTTCTACATTTTGTTCTGTAGGGTTTCGTAAGTGCGCTCTTAACATATTGAAACATCTGTTGGGTTTTTATTTTTTGACTGAAGTCTTTTGTTGTAACATTTTTCGCTGGGTGATCATTTACAATAGTTTCCTCTTTCTGTTGGATACTAGAACTGTTACTTGTGTTCAAATTGAAGGAGGATTGACCAAATATTTTCCTATTTCTGTTGGGATTACATCATTGGTTTACATCAGGGATCGACTTTAAGCCCATATCTTATTTGCTTTAGTTATGGATGACCTTACTGGACACCTATAGGAGGATGTACCGTGGTGTATGCTTTTTGCTGACGATATCCTTCTCATGGATAAAACGAGAGAAAATGTCTAGGAAAAACTTGAATTATGGAGGTCTACATTGGAGTCTAAAGGCCTTCGTTTAAGTAGAACTAAAACTGAATGCATGGAATGTAATTTTAGTAGTAAGAGCTCTAGTGACAGAAGTGTGACTTTGGGTGATCAAATTATTAAAAGGTGTGAATGTTTTAGATATCTTGGGTCTGTTGTTCAAAGTGATGGTGATATAAATGGGGATGTTATTAGTAGAATTCAAGTTGGTTGGTTTGGTTGAAGGGTTGGTTGAAGTGGAGGAATGCTTCGGGTCTTTTGTATGATAGAAAAGTACCGCTTAGACTGAAAGGAAAATTTTATAAGACGGTGGTGAGACCTGTGATGCTCTATGGCGTTGAATGTTGGTCTTTACAAGAGAAACATAATAATAAGTTAAGTGTTGCCGAGATGAGAATGATTAGGTGGATGAGTGGGTTTACACTTAGAGACAAAATGCGAAATGAATATATTCGTGATAGTGTAGCTCCTGTGACGGACAAAATTAAAGAAAGTCGTCTTAGATGGTTTGGTCACATTAGATGTCGACCATCTGATGATCCGATTAGGAGAGTAGATGTTTTAGATTCGACTTGTGTTAAGAAAGACAGAGGTAAACCTAGGAAGACTTGGGCTTATTGTATTAAAAATGACCTTAATTTACTAGAACTAAATGAAAATGTGACACTAAATACGATGCAATGGAGAAAAAGGATTCATGTAGCCGACCCCACGTGGTGGGATTAAGGTTTTGTTGTTGTTGTTGTTGTTGTTGATCATTTACAATAGTTTGCAGAATGTCTCTAGCTGCTATTAATATATGCAATACTTACAAAATTGTTTGAAGAGTTGCATAAGTGACAATGCATGACCAAATTATAACATTTAGTGGTTTACATAGTTGAATACCAACCTCTGAATGCAAAAATAAATGTATGAAATATTCATGGAAGCAGGAAATATTTATGGGGATTCAAATTAGGTATGGTGCAATAAGATTTAATAAAACCCTTTTTTTTGATAAATGAAGATACTAAGAAAGACAACAATGTTATTTGAGAAATTTAAATGTTTTAACTAAAATAATTTTAAGAAAATCTAATTTAGTAGAATTATTAAGGCTTCATTTTTATTATTTCTTAGTTGCTTTGCTTCTTTAGAAGATGGATTATTTTCAATTGATACCGGAAATATAGTATAAAAAGCCATGCATTGTATGTACAACTCTTAATTGGTCTGATGGCACGGTGATTTACTTTTAAGAGTCTCTTTTCAAACTTTGTGAGAGTTGCAATGGTTTTATTTTGTGCATCACTAAACAATAGCAACAATGAATATTACCAATTAAGGCCATGTTGTATACTAATCCTAAAATCTCAAGTTCGATAGTTATGATGAAAATACATAAAGTTAAAGCTTCGGTTTAGATGATAAAGCTATTGAGATTTAAAGAAAAATCAGAAATGCTAGGATACCATTGTGACATTAATTATTCAATGTAATGTTGGAGATTAAAAGGATGCTAAATGATTGGAGAGAAATAGTTTGATACCAATATTTAAGAAGAACAAAAAAATAATGATTGGAAATAAATTTATGCGACAAAAATGGAGCAAAGAGAGGTAGTATAAGAAGATGTTAGGGTTTGTTTAGTTTTTTAAAAAGTGGTTGTAAAGCTGTGGTGGTGAAAATAATTTTTGGAAAAATTACGGTGGGAATTATAAATATATATTTTTTCTAAAAAAGCAGATATCAGTTTTCTTACAGCTACTGCACTTTACCAGGTTAGGTTGAAAAAAATTGCTTCCCACCACAAAAATTTCTAGAAAACAATTCTCCAAATAGAGCTATGGTGGTGGTCTGAAACACAAAGCATGCAAAAAGCTGTACCAAGCAAACTTTAACTGTTATCATAATGGACACTTTGTGGTTGAAAGGTTAAATATAAAGATGTTCTTTCTGAAGTTATCATTCGAAAAGTAGAGGTAATGTTGAAAGATCTTCATGGATTTTTAATGATCCATAGAAGACACTATTTTTTATCAATAAAATGGAATTAATAAACATTATGGAGAGCATTTTCCAAAGATATGTTGAACTTTTCATTTATGATGACATAACAATTATTAAACTAGACACCTCTTTTGAAATCTAAGAGTTTTTTACACTTGCTGAGTTTAACAAAATGGTACTAGTAAGATATATTTTTGTATTAATTATGAAATTGTTTGCATAAATTATACAAGACGTGCTAAGATGAGTTTTTCTTAGTTTATCTTTTGTATGTCATAGTATGATATTGAATATATCTTCGAACAAAGTGAGAAAGTAGAGTGAATGAAAGTAATTTTAGAAGATATGTGAATTGGATTTATTGGAACAAAGAGTAAGTATATGATATATGGAAGTTAAACTAACATGATTAGTCAATTCTTATTTGAGGATCTATGTAAACATAATTACATTAGGTTTTAGGCAACTTAGATTTATTATGTAGAAAATAGGGCTATGAATGAGAATTGTTTCTTCTAAAGGTATAACAAGGCTATTTGCAAATGAAAGTGCGACAGAGTAATATCTGACAAGAGAAGATTTTTTGAACTTAATAAGTAAAATTTTAGAAAATTGCAATTAGGCTAGCCATTTTATAAGTATTGAGGTTTTAGGCAAAAGATAAATCATTAATGTTCAAGTTGGTTGCTTGGTAAGCTTGTAATAATAGGGTAAATAGTAATTGTGCTTAGGAGCACTTATTCAAGAAGACGTAGGAGTAAGAATGTGGATTTTGAGCTCCATTGAAGTGATGAATAGGGAATATTTTGGGGGCTGATCAACAAATATTTTTCTATCTGTTGTTTTCAACAGAGGCATAATCCTAGAATCATAGCATAGTTATAATGGAGAAAAGCTTTTAGAAGAAGCTAATTTTGAAACATTATAGCTAATTTTGGCACCAAAACTGTTGTGGTAGGAAAATTAAATTATATATATTTTTATGATGTAGTGTGGAATGACTAGAGAGAGGAATTCAACATATGATTCTTTTGTGACTGTTTTAGGAAATAGGACGAAAAGGCTAATGGGACAACACCTTGAGATGAAATCTATTTGAATAATAAATAATGGCAAGGTCTTTTATAAAGCTTTGGGAATAAAGAAGCTGTAGTTGCTTAAGAGGATGAAGTAACATTAGGATGATTTGGAGGAAGCTAGTGTATGCTAGAGAATGAGGATGAGAAGATATATAATGACAAGATACTGAGAGAGAGATTGAGGTTGTGTGGGACATGCGGAATGGAGAAAGTTATGTGCATGTTAAGTATGAGGGATAGTATGTGGGAGAGGATATATATATATATATCCTACTTTCAACCTAACCAGACCCTTGGTGACCAGAATACTTGTGGAAAAATATATTACTTTACCTGATGTTACTGAAGTCTGGCTGCGCACAACCCATAATGGTTATTGACAACAAACAACAAATTGCCATGGAACACAAACTCCCATATTGTACTCACTGTAAGATGTTTGGTCATATCCTTTCTAAATGCCACAAGTTTCATCTTATTTTGAAATCTAAGGTTCAAGTGAATAAGGAGGGCTCTAACCCCACTGCTGTGGACATTTTAGTTCCACTTGAGGAGAATACTTCCAGACAGGAGGTGTTTGCTATCCCTGAGGACCCCTCCCATGACACTGCTGTTATTGTTACTGCGAGTGATGCGATGCTGACACCTACAAACTTCATAGAAAATAATATTGATGGACCTATAAATGATAATGTTCAGACTGATAATCAGGAGAGTCTCGCAGCTCCTCTTCTTCAAGAAGTATTCGGTGTAGAGGCAACTCATGCTTCACATATTCTAGAACCTATTGTGGGTACTACTTTTGGTGTTCCTTTTGCTTCAGATTTGCCCCATCTGACTGATTCTTCGGAGGAGGAATGACAAGTTTACACTTCCAGGAGGAAGAAAAATAATGGAGATCTACTAGAGCTCATGAGTCTTGTGGATGATACTTTGATTACTACGGGTAATGGTCAGCAATGGTCAGCACCTTACTGACTAGATTGGGATGACCCATACTTTTTCAGCGCCCGGGTGGTTTTTGAGTTTTTTTATTTCTATTGGAAAGACTAGATATTTTGCATTTATTTAAGATATGCATATTTATGTATTGATTAGTATTAGTAGTTGTGAGATGATCAAAGAGTTTTTCAATTAAAGTAATTTATTTGAAGAATCAAAATTTATTTTTTGCCTTTTTGTAGTAGTTATAGAGATGGTTGCAAATGATATCCAAAGTATGGCTCTTTGGTGTTTGTTTATCACATATAGCGTATTTGTAATTAGCAGTATATATGTTGAAATTGGTGAAAAATTAGAACATTTGAAAAAATATTTACAAAATTGAGCTTAGAATTTGTAAAATAAATATTGAGTATATAACATTTAATTTTAATGGTTGTGATATAGACTATTATCAGTTAATATTATTAGAAGAAAATTTAT